CACACTCCTACATCAACACACTCCTACATCAACACACTCTCCTACATCAACACACACTCCTACATCAACACACACTCCTACATCAACACACACTCCTACATCAACACACTCCTACATCAACACACACTCCTACATCAACACACACTCCTACATCAACACATACTCCTACATCAACATACTCCTACATCAACACATACTCCTACATCAACACACACTCCTACATCAACACACACTCCTACATCAACACACACTCCTACATCAACACATACTCCTACATCAACACACTCCTACATCAACACACACCCCTACATCAACACACACTCCTACATCAACACACACTCCTACATCAACACACACTCCTACATCAACACACACTCCTACATCAACAGACGCTCCTACATCAACACACACTCCTACATCAACACACACCCCTACATCAACACACTCCTACATCAACACATACTCCTACATCAACACTCTCCTACATCAACACTCTCCTACATCAACACATACTCCTACATCAACACTCTCCTACATCAACACACGCTCCTACATCAACACTCTCCTACATCAACACACACTCCTACATCAACACACACTCCTACATCAACACACACTCCTACATCAACACATACTCCTACATCAACACTCTCCTACATCAACACTCTCCTACATCAACACATACTCCTACATCAACACTCTCCTACATCAACACACACTCCTACATCAACACACACTCCTACATCAACACATACTCCTACATCAACACACACTCCTACATCAACACACACTCCTACATCAACACATACTCCTACATCAACACACTCTCCTACATCAACACATACTCCTACATCAACACATACTCCTACATCAACACACACTCCTACATCAACACACTCTCCTACATCAACACACTCCTACATCAACACATACTCCTACATCAACACACTCTCCTACATCAACACACTCCTACATCAACACATACTCCTACATCAACACACTCCTACATCAACACATACTCCTACATCAACATACACTCCTACATCAACACTCACTCCTACATCAACACATACTCCTACATCAACACACACTCCTACATCAACACATACTCCTACATCAACACACACTCCTACATCAACACACACTCCTACATCAACACACACTCCTACATCAACACACACTCCTACATCAACACACGCTCCTACATCAACACACTCCTACATCAACACACTCCTACATCAACACACTCCTACATCAACATACACTCCTACATCAACACATACTCCTACATCAACACACACTCCTACATCAACACATACTCCTACATCAACACACTCCTACATCAACACATACTCCTACATCAACACACTCCTACATCAACACATACTCCTACATCAACACACACTCCTACATCAACACATACTCCTACATCAACACACACTCCTACATCAACACACACTCCTACATCAACACACACTCCTACATCAACACACACTCCTACATCAACACATACTCCTACATCAACACACTCCTACATCAACACATACTCCTACATCAACACACTCTCCTACATCAACACATACTCCTACATCAACACATACTCCTACATCAACACACACTCCTACATCAACACACTCCTACATCAACACACACTCCTACATCAACACACACTCCTACATCAACACACACTCCTACATCAACACACACTCCTACATCAACACACTCTCCTACATCAACACATACTCCTACATCAACACACACTCCTACATCAACACACACTCCTACATCAACACACACTCCTACATCAACACACGCTCCTACATCAACACATACTCCTACATCAACACACTCTCCTACATCAACACATACTCCTACATCAACACATACTCCTACATCAACACACACTCCTACATCAACACACTCCTACATCAACACACACTCCTACATCAACACACACTCCTACATCAACACACACTCCTACATCAACACACACTCCTACATCAACACACTCTCCTACATCAACACATACTCCTACATCAACACACACTCCTACATCAACACACACTCCTACATCAACACACACTCCTACATCAACACACACTCCTACATCAACACACACTCCTACATCAACACACACTCCTACATCAACACATACTCCTACATCAACACTCTCCTACATCAACACACACTCCTACATCAACACACTCTCCTACATCAACACATACTCCTACATCAACACATACTCCTACATCAACACACTCCTACATCAACACATACTCCTACATCAACACACTCCTACATCAACACATACTCCTACATCAACACATACTCCTACATCAACACACTCCTACATCAACACACACTCCTACATCAACACACTCTCCTACATCAACACATACTCCTACATCAACACACACTCCTACATCAACACACTCTCCTACATCAACACACACTCCTACATCAACACACACTCCTACATCAACACACACTCCTACATCAACACACACTCCTACATCAACACACACTCCTACATCAACACACGCTCCTACATCAACACATACTCCTACATCAACACACTCCTACATCAACACACACTCCTACATCAACACACACTCCTACATCAACACATACTCCTACATCAACACTCTCCTACATCAACACACACTCCTACATCAACACACACTCCTACATCAACACACACTCCTACATCAACACACACTCCTACATCAACACACACTCCTACATCAACACACACTCCTACATCAACACACGCTCCTACATCAACACATACTCCTACATCAACACACTCCTACATCAACACACACTCCTACATCAACACACGCTCCTACATCAACACACTCCTACATCAACATACACTCCTACATCAACACATACTCCTACATCAACACACTCCTACATCAACACTCTCCTACATCAACACATACTCCTACATCAACACTCTCCTACATCAACACATACTCCTACATCAACACACACTCCTACATCAACACACACTCCTACATCAACACACTCCTACATCAACACACACTCCTACATCAACACACACTCCTACATCAACACACTCCTACATCAACACATACTCCTACATCAACACACACCCCTACATCAACACACACTCCTACATCAACACATACTCCTACATCAACACACACCCCTACATCAACACACACTCCTACATCAACACACACTCCTACATCAACACATACTCCTACATCAACACACACTCCTACATCAACACACACTCCTACATCAACACACTCCTACATCAACACATACTCCTACATCAACACATACTCCTACATCAACACACACTCCTACATCAACACATACTCCTACATCAACACACTCCTACATCAACACACGCTCCTACATCAACACACACTCCTACATCAACACACACTCCTACATCAACACACTCCTACATCAACACATACTCCTACATCAACACACACCCCTACATCAACATACGCTCCTACATCAACACACACTCCTACATCAACACATACTCCTACATCAACACATACTCCTACATCAACACACACTCCTACATCAACACACTCCTACATCAACACACACTCCTACATCAACACACACTCCTACATCAACACACTCCTACATCAACACATACTCCTACATCAACACACACTCCTACATCAACACACTCCTACATCAACACATACTCCTACATCAACACACACTCCTACATCAACACACTCTCCTACATCAACACACTCCTACATCAACACATACTCCTACATCAACATACACTCCTACATCAACACTCACTCCTACATCAACACATACTCCTACATCAACACACACTCCTACATCAACACATACTCCTACATCAACACACACTCCTACATCAACACACACTCCTACATCAACACACACTCCTACATCAACACACACTCCTACATCAACACACGCTCCTACATCAACACACTCCTACATCAACACACTCCTACATCAACACACTCCTACATCAACATACACTCCTACATCAACACATACTCCTACATCAACACACTCTCCTACATCAACACATACTCCTACATCAACACACACTCCTACATCAACACACACTCCTACATCAACACACACTCCTACATCAACACACTCCTACATCAACACACACTCCTACATCAACACATACTCCTACATCAACACATACTCCTACATCAACACACACTCCTACATCAACACACTCTCCTACATCAACACACACTCCTACATCAACACATACTCCTACATCAACACATACTCCTACATCAACACATACTCCTACATCAACACACACTCCTACATCAACACACACTCCTACATCAACACACACTCCTACATCAACACACACTCCTACATCAACACACACTCCTACATCAACACACACTCCTACATCAACACATACTCCTACATCAACACACACTCCTACATCAACACACACTCCTACATCAACACACACTCCTACATCAACACACACTCCTACATCAACACATACTCCTACATCAACACATACTTCTACATCAACACATACTCCTACATCAACACACACTCCTACATCAACACACTCTCCTACATCAACACATACTCCTACATCAACACACACTCCTACATCAACACACTCTCCTACATCAACACATACTCCTACATCAACACACACTCCTACATCAACACACACTCCTACATCAACACACTCCTACATCAACACACACTCCTACATCAACACACACTCCTACATCAACACATACTCCTACATCAACACATACTCCTACATCAACACACACTCCTACATCAACACATACTCCTACATCAACACATACTCCTACATCAACACACACTCCTACATCAACACACTCTCCTACATCAACACACACTCCTACATCAACACACTCTCCTACATCAACACATACTCCTACATCAACACATACTCCTACATCAACAAACCAACACCATTACACGGTTTGCGTCTCGTCTTGCAGTCTGCAAAGTGTTCAAGTCATCCCCGGATGCAATGCCACACCTACCAGCTACCATCTGGGGCAGAGCGAGACGGCGCCAGCGCAGTTCTACGTCTTCGTCGGAGTTATCGCCTTCCTCTACTGCATTGGTGCTCTTATTCTCTACATCTTCTTTGATGATCTCTACCGCAAGAACAACCGGCTTGTCATTGTGGTGAGTGATCTGCCTGTAGGAGTTTAGGCAACGCAGCAAGCGCTTTCCTTATTTAATAGATGGATGTCATGGTATCGTCTTCATCCCATGGGTCTCCTTGTGAAGAGTTGTGTCCCTTGACCACCATGTTTTCAGGTATCAAGGGCAGATAACCCCAACCAATAGTTATATCACTCATCACACAAACAGTTTCATATTTATAAGTTATGTTATGGGTTTGAATCCCTTTTTCACCTTGATGATTCTTGGTTTGTTAGCACCATACCAGTGCTTGTGGGTTTCACAAGTGATGTGGCTGTGGGCTGGCTGAGTGGTTAAAGTGTTTGCTTGCCTCACCCAGGCTTGCCTCCCTCATTAAGCCGACACGCTGTGCTATAACTGGAATACTGTTCAAAGCGGCATTAAAGCCAACTCACTCACTCTTTTCTTCCATATGAGGGGGCACGGGTGGCCCAGTCGTCTAAGGCACCGCGATTCGCTGTGCAGAGTTGCGTCCCTTGGGCACGCCAGAAACCTTTGATTGTGGGTTCAAATCCCGGTTCGCCCCGATTATGTTTCCAGGTTTGTCAGGACCATACCCGTGCTCATGGGCTTCACCGAAGTGGTAAACGTCTGAGACCTGCATCACTTTGGGCTTTCCTCCCACATTAAGCTGACACGCCATGATATAACTGGAATGCTGTTAAAAGCAGCGTTAAACCCAACTCACACATTCATTTTCTTCCATATGAAGCTAACTTGCTGTGATATGATTCAAAGTGGAAGCATTAAACTCAACTCCCTCACTCACTTGAATCCATGAGACATACAGTGAGTATCCCTTGTTTGCAGGACTTTGTGATATCGGTTGTGGTGACGGCCCTGTGGCTCATCTCCTCCTCTGCCTGGGCTCAAGGTGTGTCTGACGTCAAGTTCTACACCGACCCCAGCGAGTCCGGCCTCTTCCAGATGATGGCCGAGTGCGAAAAAGTTGCCTGTGAAGTCGGTCACCTTGGCAACTTTGCTAGCCTTAATGTATCCATCGTAAGTGTTTTATTGGAATTTTAGCTCACCTTGCTGAAAAATCAAAATAAATTTCATCTTTAGCTCACCTGGTGAAAATGCCCAAGTGAGTTTCATATTTAGCTGACCTGTCAGAATAGCCAATTAGGTTTCATTTTGGGCTCATTTGGTTTCATTGGTGAAATTTTCCGTTGGTTGTACAAAACTGTATGTGATATTAACTAACAATAGTCTGTTTGTTTACTGTAACTATTCTAACTGACGTTGCTTTTTCCAGATCCCATATCAATTTATATTTCTTATCCTTCCCTTTTCAGATCTTTGGATTTTTGAACTTTTTAGTGTGGGCAGCCAACCTGTGGTTCTTGTACAAGGAAACTCCATGGTTTAAAATCCGCTCGAAGCCGCCCAGTTCTCCAGGTACGCAGTCCGAGATCGACCCACAGAAAGTGTAGTTTTCTACCCCAGGCAGTTGCCATGAGCTAGGATTGAAAGCTTGATGAATGGTTAAAACTGTGATTACGACAAGAAATCTCAAATCATTTGAAGCGATAAATGGAGTCTCATCTCTTCCGTGATAATAAAAGTATAGGTTCATTCAGGAAGTGTCAAACATGCGATGGTCTTTCCGTCAGGAAAAGCGCCAACACTGGAATAATTATGCAATCATTTTGTATTCAGAGTAAAAGGACTTGATCAGCAGTAGAATTTTGACAGTAGGATTGTAATATAAATCAGGATAAGACTATCAATCCCTTTTCTTGAAACACATAGGATACTTGTGATATTAGGCTTGGGAGAATCTCCTCACGTTTGTGCTGGGGTCCTCCTTTTGTCTTATCAGTAGTTGTGTTGGTTTGTGCAGCACTCCCGACACACGGCTTCCACCTTCAGGTGCCATGTAGTTGTGTTGGTTTGTGCAGCACTCCCGACACACGGCTTCCACCTTCAGGTGCCATGTAGTTGTGTTGGTTTGTGCAGCACTCCCGACACACGGCTTCCACCTTCAGGTGCCATGTAGTTGTGTTGGTTTGTGCAGCACTCCCGACACACGGCTTCCACCTTCAGGTGCCGTGTAGTTGTGTTGGTTTGTGCAGCACTCCCGACACACGGCTTCCACCTTCAGGTGCCGTGTAGTTGTGTTGGTTTGTGCAGCGCTCCCGACACACGGCTTCCACCTTCAGGTGCTTTGTAGTTGTGACTGTAGTTCCCTGGTTGCTGGTACAGGTTATGGACTCAATGCTTGATATTTGTGCTAAGGATTGATTCAGCAGTCAAGGATTGATTCAGCAGTCAAGGATTGATGCAGCAGTCAAGGATTGATTCAGCAGTCAAGGATTGATGCAGCAGTCAAGGATTGATGCAGCAGTCAAGGATTGATATAGCAGTCAAGGTGCTTCAGATCTTGCAACCAGCTCAAGTGTGACATTCTTCAGACAGATCATGCTGGTTTATGCTCTTCTGGCCAATGTTCAATGTTCTCTAGACAGCTGTTGAATGTTCTCCAGACCACTGTTGAATGTTCTTCAGGTGGCTGTTAAATGTTCTCCAGACTGCTGTTAAATGTTCTCCAGACTGCTGTTGAATGTTCTTCAGACTGCTGTTGGATGTTCTCCAGACCACTGTTGGATGTTCTTAAGACTGCTGTTGAATGTTCTCCAGACTGCTGTTGAATGTTCTCCAGACTGCTGTTGAATGTTCTCCAGATCACTGTTGAATGTTCTTAAGACTGCTGTTGAATGTTCTTAAGACTGCTGTTGAATGTTCTCCAGACTGCTGTTGAATGTTCTCCAGACTGCTGTTGGATGTTCTTCAGACCACTGTTGAATGTTTTCCAGACCACTGTTGAATGTTCTCCAGACCACTGTTGAATGTTCTTAAGACTGCTGTTGAATGTTCTCCAGACTGCTATTGAATGTTCTCCAGACCGCTGTTGAATGTTCTCCAGACCGCTGTTGAATGTTCTCCAGACCACTGTTGAATGTTCATCCCATACTGGTTGATGGTGTTCAGATGAGGTCATGTGTTTATGACAAGTGTTCTCACCACTGATCCATGTGTGCAAGACACTCTGTACAAGGATAAGCTGAAGGATTGGTGAGATGGCATCAATGGGCTATCGTGTTGTCAATGGGCTATCGTATTTTCCCTGCTCAGTGCTAAACATTCTGTCTCTCCGTCGCTTTGTGGACCCCAGCAGCTCCGTGTCCTTGTTGACCATATGCAGTCCTGTTTTGTCCAGGATTTCCAGGACGATGATGAGTACCAGGAGTATTGGGGAGTAGCACCTTGTGAAGACGTTACACTTGGAGTGGTTCCACTTAGGAGTATCAGAAATATGTTCATGTAGGAAATATAGGATTGTGAATATGTACCATACTTACTTGGGGATCAGAATTGTGAATAGGTGGCACATGGACTATCAGGATTGTGAATAGGTGGCACATGGAATATCAGGATTGTGAATAGGTGGCACATGGAATATCAGGATTGTGAATAGGTGGCACATGGACTATCAGGATTGTGAATAGGTGGCACATGGAATATCAGGATTGTGAATAGGTGGCACATGGAATATCAGGATTGTGAATAGGTGGCACATGGAATATCAGGATTGTGACTAGTTGGCACATGGAATATCAGAAATACGGATAGGTGCCATATGAATAGTATCTGGATTGTGAATAGGACGGGGGAAGTGGACAACCACAAGTGCTGTATGTTCAGTGGAATCCTGTGGAATCCTGTAAACTCCTCCTGTACTTTCTGGGAACTAGTCGTCCATTGCTAGATGTGTTATTGCCAATAATATAACTATTTTACATGTGAGCTTGATCTGTCCAGGTAAGTGTTGCTTTTTCAGAATGTTTTTTCCATTTTTGTGTGAAATATATCTTACATATTTTGAAATGAAAGTTATTGTACAGTACATTTTGAGTGATTTTCAATCTAAGACATGGCATTCTATTTTCTCCCTCAACTTGTACATACTGACTTGCTGCACCTATGACTGCCAGCACCTGCCTAATGGCTGCTTGTGACCCAGTGATGTGTGTGAACAGTGTGCATGCTCTCTCAAACATTACTTCAATCTGCACAGTCAATATTTTCAGTCACATTTCACCTTCATACACAAGTCGCATTCTTCCAACAATTTGCCTCTGAGAATTCTGATTCTAAAGAAACAGGACCTAATGTTTCGCAGTTATTAGACTCTATTCCAAACAAACATAGGACAAGTCTGGTGGTGGAGTAGACTGTGTAGATTCCAGAATACTGTATATTTTCATAAATATGATATGTCTTTGTGTGTGTAGTGATGGGGACCCTGTGTACCCAAGCGAGCAGCGCCAGCAGGGCTTCTCTCCACCTGCCGTAACCATATCTCTGTGCTGCTGTATAAACAATATTGATACTGACTTGGCGCTACACCGAGCTACAGGCCACAGTGTTTTCAGGACAGCTCAGCTACTCTCTTGTGTACGATGGGCAAGCTATCCATATCTCCAAACTACATCAAATATATCATGGGCTTTGATTATAGGACTGACGTATTATTGGAACATTAGATTTCTAACCAACTTGCATGCTCCTCATATTGCTGAACCATATATGTATGTATACACGTATGTATGTGTGTATGTATACCAGGCTGCCATCAAGGTATATCATGTATCTGGTGAAAACATTCAGAGCTAGTTGTGCCCTGATAGTCCAGAGATGTGGAGGTGTGTGCTCCTAGGGTTGACCAGGGACAATTACACCCACCCTCCTCACATGCTCCTAGGGTTGACCAGGGACAATTACACCCACCCTCCTTACATGCTCCTAGGGTTGACCAGGGACAATTACACCCACCCTCCTCGCATGTTCCTAGGGTTGACCAGGGACAATTACACCCATCCTCCTGACATGCTCCTAGGGTTGACCAGGGACAATTACACCCATCCTCCTGACATGCTCCTAGGGTTGACCAGGGACAATTACACCCACCCTCCTGACATGCTCCTAGGGTTGACCAGGGACAATTACACCCATCCTCCTGACATGCTCCTAGGGTTGACCAGGGACAATTACACCCATCCTCCTGACATGCTCCTAGGGTTGACCAGGGACAATTACACCCACCCTCCTGACATGCTCCTAGGGTTGACCAGGGACAATTACACCCACCCTCCTGACATGCTCCTAGGGTTGACCAGGGACAATTACACCCACCCTCCTTACATGCTCCTAGGGTTGACCAGGGACAATTACACCCACCCTCCTGACATGCTCCTAGGGTTGACCAGGGACAATTACACCCACCCTCCTGACATGCTCCTAGGGTTGACCAGGGACAATTACACCCACCCTCCTCACATGCTCCTAGGGTTGACCAGGGACAATTACGCCCATCCTCCTGACATGCTCCTAGGGTTGACCAGGGACAATTACACCCACCCTCCTCACATGCTCCTAGGGTTGACCAGGGACAATTACACCCATCCTCCTTACATGCTCCTAGGGTTGACCTGGGACAATTACACCCATCCTCCTTACATGTTGACCAGGGACAATTACACCCACCCTCCTCACATGCTCCTAGGGTTGACCAGGGTTATACCTTGATGAAGCCTCTGTCCCTTTGAGCTCTGTGTTTCTGTGTTGTCTGTGACTTAATTGTTTCTTTATTATTTTGTTTCTCTAGAAGCAGGCCCGCCACAGCAACCTCCCACCAACCAATATTAAGATGTGCCCAGTAGTAAGTAGTGGCGACTAACCAAGTACTACCCTTCTCATAGTTGTGCAACATGGCATTGGAAAAAGAACTAACTTGTGGTGGCAGTAGTAGCTAGGGTCTTGTTCTATCAAATTTTTTGTTTGTTTCTGTTTTATGTTAGATTCATTGTTATTTTGTATTTTGTAACATGCCAGGGAATAAATTATGAATTTAGAACAAGAAAGTAATGTAAGTCATCACCAGTGGTTTCTTTATTTCAATCACGGAACTCTTTAGCATCCCTGTCAGACAGATATAGGTAGAGGCTTTCCTCAGAGAGGATGGCTTGGCACCTGGGTCAGACATGACACATGGGTCGGACGTGACACTTGGGTCGGACGTGACACTTGGGTCAGGACATGACCCATGGGTCGGTTTGTGATGTTGTGTTGTATGTGACATGTCGTGTGTGACGTGTCGTGTGTGACATTGTGTCATGTATGGGATGTTGGTCTGACAGGATTGCTACAGGGTTCCCAGTTCCGCTGCTATAAGACGACCTTGAGATCTGAAAAGGACTGCCTCTGTAGGCTGGAGTCCTGCTAGAAGTATCAGTTGTTAGTGATGTGTGCATGGGATACATTCAGGTTAGCAACAGATCAGGCAACCTAGAACATGTATTAACATCTTGTTGCCTTGATATACACAATTATATAGCCTGCATGGGGGTAATGGGGGACGATGTCCTTTGTCTTTACAACAATCATGTTTATGTGAATACTGTTTTATTATCAACACATCCTTTTAGTTAAGGAGGGGTATCTCCAACATGATGCACCACCACCACGTATCCCCTGGTAACCACCAAGCTGCTGTAGAGAGAAACATAGAATAGGACTGCCAGCCTCTTGATTTCTAGTGTTTCTTGTGTATTGGATGTGTGCATCAATTCCATGTCTTACCCATTTCGTCTTTTACTAACTATAGTTAAGAGTGTCTGGATTATATTGAGTGATGTCTGTTAATCCTGTGTAGTGGTTTGTGCAAGGTATGAAATCCTTCCATCAAAGTTTTAAGTTGCTCTTGAAATTCCCACATCCCACTCCCAACAGAGCAGAGGAATCTTTCATACAGTGGACCCTATCCCATCATGCAGTGGACCCTATCCCATCATGCAGTGGACCCTATCCCATCATGCAGTGGACCCTATCCCATCATGCAGTAGACTATCCCATCATTCAGTGGACCCAATCACATGATGTGGTGACCCTATCCCATCATGCCCTTCATTTGGTTAGGCAGAATCAAAATCAGGTCACACCAAATAATCTGAATTTTTATTCTAGTTCTTGAGTGTGGACATTTATTAAATACGAAATATTGTGCACCTTAACGAGGGGAAGTAGCTGATATGACTAAGACAAGTTTCGTATATCACTTACATCAGTGTCCGACATCACTCAATGCAGACGCATGCAATTCAGGTTAAATTGGCCTTGTAAATGACAGGCACTGTGTGTCCCATACCGTCATCCATGTAGTGCCCGGGGCATTATTGGGCCGCCATCTTGGAACAGGGGGCATCATTGTTACAACACACATTGTCCATGCCAGACTGGTGTAGAAACATACAACTCTTGGCCTCCTGGTTGTAAGAGGCTGCAGTTATTAGAGAAGGGGAGGTAACTGCATCCACGATGGGTCTTGATCGGTAACATCTGTGGCCCATATTGGCTTGGAGTCTTCTCCCTTGCACTTGTAATGGATATATACCACTCAAAAATGGTTAAGGATTACTCCATTCTTTCACTTTACTATGTCAGAATCAAGGGGACTAACTTTTTTGAGCAGTATATGTTCTATCTGTGTCAGGTATTTGCTTGGAAATGTAGGCTAGTCGGAGTCATCTCCCTTGCACTGCACCAAGTTTTTCCACATTCTTTATTTGTGTGTTTTGAAAAGAGTTTGGAGTATTTTGCCAACTGTATTTTTGTAACTGCTGGAGTCTTCCTCAAAATAGGAACAACACAATGTCAGGGTGGTTGCTATTTTATCAACATTATGAGAAATATATTTTCTACCTTCCTCTCTCAGAAACCAGTTTCATTTGTACTCAAATACAGATATTTTGTCACTCTGTCAATCCGATTTTGTTATTTAAAAAGGTTCATATCTTATGCACACAGAATTTTTACATGATTTCTATGACCTTTGCACCGGCTCACTTAGGAATTAGGGCACTATTAAACCTACTTGTATCTCAGTTAATTGTTAGTGTGGCCGTATCAGCTTTTGATGGGGACATTCTCAGTTGAGTAGTGTATATGGTATATTCAGCCAGAATTGTGCTAGAATGATCTCAGAACATCACTCCCGATTATTTCTCTTCTTTAGCCAGAGCCAGGTTTTAGCATCACAGATGTTGTGTATTTTAACTCGACTTGTTTACTGTATATATATATAATGGGGCACTTTCTTTATTCTAAGGTTTACAGATTCACATGAGCCACAACACAAACATTGAGGAGATTTAGATTTATTCCTTGTTCCGTCTGCACCACTATCCATGTCCAGTCAATTCAAATGAAACTTGTTCAGATACATTATTTGTTTTAAATGATTCAAACTCCTCTTTCAATAACAGAAATCTGTAAACCATGGAATCAGCCCATGGTTGCCACAGCTGTAGAAATGGGTCACCCTTTTGTTTGCCGAGTCTGTTTCAGTTCATTACATTCCACTTGGAATAGGGTGGCCTTGACCTCAGGGCCAGCGTCACGATTTAAGTGATGAATTGGATTGCATCTTCTGGATGTGATATGCCTTGTTTTGCTTCTGTTGTTTGTATTTTGAATACTAATATTTTGTATCTGTTGTTTGATATGGGTTGAAATGTAGATATGTATATTCTTCATTCAGTAGGACACTCTGGAGCTACCATACATACTATTAGTACGAATGATCACTACATTACTTCTCATCAAGATGCTAGTGTATTCTACATGCAGCAGCAATACTTTGTCATCAGATTAAATATTCACTTGAGGAAAAAGAAGGATCTGTCCAGACTTCAGTATACCATGAGGCGAAATGAAAATAACATTCACCAGCAGACCTTGTGTATACCAAACACTCTGATTTGTTCTTAAAGCCGAGAAAATGGCATCCATTTCAGTCTCCCCCACTGTTCAATGTGCAGCTTCGGTGTCGTGGGGTGGTCTAGTGGTCAAAGCATTCACTCGTCATGCTGTAGGCCCCAGTTCGATTCCCTGTCAGGTGTCCCCAGATAGTGCTGGAATAGTACTAAAAGTGGCGTGAAAACCTCCTCACTCACTCACTCACTCATCAGGGGGACACACCTGGGCAATGGGAAGGAAATAAGTTATAGCTGCTGAAGACGGGGACGAGTAATTCGCCAGTAAAACTGAAGTCAGTTTATCAGTTGGATATTGTAAACCATATTTCATGTACTGAGCATCCAACACGGTATGTTTAGGACTATATATTCCTGTTCTTAATCCATGCTTATCAAGTTCTTGTATGCTGTTCATTCCTTCATGTTATACATGTAATAACTGATGATTAATGTTCATATTCTAATATCTTGAAGTAATGGTCTGCTAGTTCTTGTTGGAAACATGCATTCTGTAGCATTGGTCCTTTAGTTGTTTGTATGAACAATAAAGCGAATAAATTTGTTTATTTACCATGTAATATTGTTGTTTGTACACGAAACGGATACACCATTGTGATTGGTGGAAATGTCTCAGACATTTCCACCGATCATAGTGGTGCCTCAGTAGGAGACATTACCACCCATCATGGTGGCACCACAGTAGGAGACATTACCACTCAGCATGGTGGCGCCACCACAGTAGGAGACATTACCACCCAGCAGGGTGGCGCCACAGTAGGAGACATTACCACCCATCACGGTGGCGTTACAGTAGGAGACATTACCACCCAGCAGGGTGGCGCCACAGTAGGAGACATTACCACCCATCATGGTGGCGCCACAGTAGGAGACATTACCACTCAGCATGGTGGCGCCACCACAGTAGGAGACATTACCACCCATCACGGTGGCGTTACAGTAGGAGACATTACCATCCAGCAGGGTGGCGCCACAGTAGGAGACATTACCACCCATCAGGGTGGCGCCACAGTAGGAGACATTACCACCCAGCAGGGTGGCGCCACAGTAGGAGACATTACCACCCATCATGGTGGCGCCACAGTAGGAGACATTACCACCCATCACGGTGGCGCCACAGTAGGAGACATTACCACCCATCACGGTGGCGCCTCAGTAGGAGACATTACCACCCATCATGGTGGCGCCACAGTAGGAGACATTACCACCCATCAAGGTGGCGCCACAGTAGGAGACATTACCACCAATCACGGTGGCGTTACAGTAGGAGATATCACCACTGCAATCATCTGAAGACAATTAACATAAAACATGTTTTACATTTCTTCTACGAATGTTCTTACAATATTATTCTTGAACTTTGTCAGTTTGACCAGATTGTTCTATATGTGTATCCAAGTGCATGTTGCTTGGGCTATGGTCAAACTAGTCCCAATCGTACATTTTGTACCTCTCTCTTGAGACCTACAGCAGGTACCCGGGTAGGGTAGGGTAGGATAATGGGGGGTTGGGTATCCGGGTATGGTAGGATAGGGTAGGATAATGGGGGGTGGGGTACCCGGGTATGGTAGGATAGGGTAGGATAATGGGGGGTGGGGTACCCGGGTAGGGTAGGGTAGGATAATGGGGGGTTGGGGTACCCGGGTAGGGTAGGGTAGGATAATTGGGGGGGGGGGGGGGGGGGGGGGGTACCCGGGTAGGGTAGGATAATGGGGGGGGGGGGTACCCGGGTAGGGTAGGGTAGGATAATGGGGGGTGGGGTACCCGGGTAGGGTAGGGTAGGATAATGGGGGGTTGGGTACCCGGGTAGGGTAGGGTAGGGTAGGATATTGGGGGGTGGGGTACCCGGGTAGGGTAGGGTAGGATAATGGGGGGTTGGGTACCCGGGTAGGGTAGGATAGGGTAGGATATTGGGGGGTGGGGTACCCGGGTAGGGTAGGGTAGGATAATGGGGGGTGGGGTACCCGGGTAGGGTAGGGTAGGATAATGGGGGGTGGGGTACCCGGGTAGGGTAGGGTAGGATAATGGGGGGTTGGGTACCCGGGTAGGGTAGGGTAGGGTAGGATATTGGGGGGTGGGGTACCCGGGTAGGGTAGGGTAGGATAATGGGGGGTTGGGTACCCGGGTAGGGTAGGATAGGGTAGGATATTGGGGGGTGGGGTACCCGGGTAGGGTAGGGTAGGATAATGGGGGGTGGGGTACCCGGGTAGGGTAGGGTAGGGTAGGGTAGGATAATGGGGGGTGGGGTACCCGGGTAGTAAATTTGGACTTATCCCAGCCCTAATGTCTCCACTTCATGTGGGAGAAAAGTCCAATCTGGGATTCAAAACCATGATCACAGGATTCTGGTACAGCCAAGGGGGGGCAACTCTGCACCACTAAATCCAGGAACATGCCTTGGTTTATCAGTAGATAAGACAAATCTCCTCATTCCTTGGTTCTCAAAAGGATTCCAAACCATTCTGAAGACAGGAGCACATCAGGAGATCTTCAGCTGGTGATACCTTGACAGCTTTCTTCATTCTGAACACAGTCGTTGTCTGTCACGTCCACCTGTTTCATCTGGTCGGGTCCCAGTACTGAAGGACACAAAATCGATCCCTGAAAAAAAGGTATTGATTGAAGATGTTTGTATAACATGCATCCCTCATGTTGTCCATCGTAGAACAACTTAGGCCTTTGCATCAGTCTACTTGAATAGTCCTAAGGTTGTTTCAGTCTTGGTGAGTGAATAAGTGAGTTTGGTTTTACGCCGCTTTTAGCAATATTCCAGCAATATCACGGCGGGGGACACCAGAAATGGGCTTCACACATTGTACCCATGTCGGCAATCGAACCCGGGTCTTCGGCGTGACGTGTGAACGCTTTAACCACTAGGCCCAACACATGCCCAAAACAGAAAAATTATCTGACTTTAGTTGCAAGAGAATGGATACACATATCATAAATGAAATACCTTGACTCATTAAAAGTTATATTTGAGGCAGTTTGACTATTAAATGTCAATCGAAATACATGTAGCGTGGGAAGTCCCTACGGTAACTGGTCAAATTGTTCCATACGTAAAAATGTCCTTCATACCACCTGTACCAAAGTGCTACGCTTAAGGTTCTTATCATTTTAAATATAGCTGCAACTAAAATAACACCATATTGGAATTTATTCTTTTTGATAAAATAATAATTTCAGATACAATTTCTTCCAACCATTGCATCTTTGAAGTTGTATCATTGGGTATGTTTTAACTGAATCACCAGTAGATTGGGAGGAAACGTGTGCACAGCTGATTGCTATTTCCGGCTTAGTTTACAAGAAAATACACACGGTAATCTTAATCTCTGCATATAAAACAATGCCTTGGAGAGCAGGAAATACATTATAAATGGTAAATCATCATGTCTAGTGATGTTTTATATCACTTTTCATATTTTTATTGATCAAGTTTTTTATACCTGTTTATTCACCTGAATTCACTGATTTTTTTTTTGAAATTGCATATTAATACTCGATAAATCTTTATTTACACTATGAATCATAAACAACTTTTTAAAACTCTGAAACGTGCAATGTAGATCGTGTTAGGTAGGGAGAGCATGTATACTGTATACTCTACCAATTATGACTCCACCTCGGTTAAACCACTGATCACCTATAACAGTCATCAATTATTTGGACCCTGAAGGTAGCGTTGTAGTGACGGATCACTGTGTGCACATTCGACCGAATGAATTTAACCTTCAATCTCAGCCATGAGCACCCGGTACCCACCTGGCAGTGAAGTCCTGCAGTGTCCTGAGATACCGGAGTCCCCCCTGCTCCTCCACCAGGCTCTGTATCCTCCCGGGGTGGGATGTGTCCACCTCCAGCCACACAGTGCTGCCAACACACAAGTCCGGGAACTTGTAAAACTACCCCTTGTGTGACAGTGAACCTACCCCTTGTGTGACAGTGAACCTACCCCTTGTGTGACAGTGATCCTACCCCTTGTGTGATAGTGAACCTACCCCTTGTCTGTGACAGTGAGCCCACCCCTTGTGTGACAGTGAACCTACCCCTCTTGTGAGACAGTGAACCTACCCCTTGTGTGTGACAGTGAACTTACCCCTCGTGTGTGACAGTGAACCTACCCCTTGTGTGACAGTGAACCTACCCCTTGTGTGACAGTGAACCCATCCCCTGTGTGGCAGTGAACCCACCCCTTGTGTGACAGTGAACCTACCCCTCTTGTGTGACAGTGAACCTACCCCTTGTGTGACAGTGAACCTACCCCTCGTGTGTGACAGTGAACCTACCCCTTGTGTGACAGTGAACCTACCCCTCGTGTGTGACAGTGAACCTACCCCTCGTGTGTGACAGTGAACCTACCGCTTGTGTAACAGTGAAAATACCCCTCTTGTGAGACAGTGAACCTACCCCTTGTGTGACAGTGAACCTACCCCTTGTGTGACAGTGAACCTACCCCTTGTGTGTGACAGTGAACTTACCCCTCGTGTGTGACAGTGAACCTACCCCTTGTGTGACAGTGAACCTACCCCTTGTGTGACAGTGAACCCATCCCCTGCGTGGCAGTGAACCCACCCCTTGTGTGACAGTGAACCTACCCCTCTTGTGTGACAGTGAACCTACCCCTTGTGTGACAGTGAACCTACCCCTTGTGTGACAGTATACCTACCCCTCGTGTGTGACAGTGAACCTACCCCTTGTGTGACAGTGAACCTACCCCTCGTGTGTGACAGTGAACCTACCCCTTGTGTGACAGTGAACCTACCCCTTGTGTGACAGTAAACCTACCCCCTGTGTGTGACAGTGAACCTACCCCTTGTGTGACAGTGAACCTACCCCTTGTGTGACAGTGAACCTACCCCTTGTCTGTGACAGTGAGCCCACCCCTTGTGTGACAGTGAACCTACCCCTCTTGTGTGACAGTGAACCTACCGCTTGTGTAACAGTGAACCCATCCCTTGTGTGACAGTGAAAATACCCCTCTTGTGAGACAGTGAACCTACCCCTTGTGTGTGACAGTGAACCTACCCCTTGTGTGACAGTGAACCTACCCCTTGTGTGACAGTGAACCCATCCCTCTGTGTGGCAGTGAACCCACCCCTTGTGTGACAGTGAACCTACCCCTCTTGTGTGACAGTGAACCTACCCCTTGTGTGACAGTGAACCTACCCCTTGTGTGACAGTGAACCTACCCCTTGTGTGACAGTGAACCTACCCCTCGTGTGTGACAGTGAACCTACCCCTTGTGTGACAGTGAACCTACCGCTTGTGTGACCGTGAACCTACCCTTTGTGTGACAGTGAACCTACCCCTTGTGTGACAGTGAACCTACCTCTTGTGTGACAGTGAACCTACCTCTTGTGTGTGACAGTGAACCTACCCCTCCTGTGTGACAGTGAGCCCACCCCTTGTGTGACAGTGAGCCCACCCCTTGTGTGACAGTGAGCCCACCCCTTGTGTGACAGTGAACCTACCTCTTGTGTGACAGTGAACCTACCCCTTGTGTGACAGTGAACCTACCTCTTGTGTGACAGTGAACCTACCTCTTGTGTGACAGTGAACCTACCTCTTGTGTGACAGTGAACCTACCGCTTGTGTGACAGTGAACCTACCGCTTGTGTGACCGTGAACCTACCGCCTGTGTAACAGTGAACCTACCGCTTGTGTAACAGTGAACCCATCCCTTGTGTGACAGTGAACCCATCCCTTGTGTGACAGTGAACCTATCCCTCTTGTGTGACAGTGAACCTACCGCTTGTGTAACAGTGAACCCATCCCTTGTGTGACAGTGAACCTACCCCTTGTGTGACAGTGAACCTACCCCTTGTGTGTGACAGTGAACTTACCCCTCGTGTGTGACAGTGAACCTACCCCTTGTGTGACAGTGAACCCATCCCCTGTGTGGCAGTGAACCCACCCCTTGTGTGACAGTGAACCTACCCCTTGTGTGACAGTGAACCTACCCCTTGTGTGACAGTGAACCTACCCCTTGTGTGACAGTGAACCTACCCCTTGTGTGACAGTGAACCTACCCCTTGTGTGATAGTGAACCTACCCCTTGTGTGTGACAGTGAACTTACCCCTCGTGTGTGACAGTGAACCTACCCCTTGTGTAACAGTGAACCCATCCCCTGTGTGGCAGTGAACCCACCCCTTGTGTGACAGTGAACCTACCCCTTGTGTGACAGTGAACCTACCCCTTGTGTGACAGTGAACCTACCCCTTGTGTGACAGTGAACCTACCCCTTGTGTGACAGTGAACCTACCTCTTGTGTGACAGTGAACCTACCTCTTGTGTGTGACAGTGAACCTACCCCTTGTGTGACAGTGAACCTACCCTTTGTGTGACAGTGAACCTACCCCTTGTGTGACAGTGAACCTACCTCTTGTGTGACAGTGAACCTACCTCTTGTGTGTGACAGTGAACCTACCCCTCCTGTGTGACAGTGAGCCCACCCCTTGTGTGACAGTGAGCCCACCCCTTGTGTGACAGTGAGCCCACCCCTTGTGTGACAGTGAACCTACCTCTTGTGTGACAGTGAACCTACCCCTTGTGTGACAGTGAACCTACCTCTTGTGTGACAGTGAACCTACCTCTTGTGTGACAGTGAACCTACCTCTTGTGTGTGACAGTGAACCTACCCCTCCTGTGTGACAGTGAGCCCACCCCTTGTGTGACAGTGAGCCCACCCCTTGTGTGACAGTGAGCCCACCCCTTGTGTGACAGTGAACCTACCTCTTGTGTGACAGTGAACCTACCCCTTGTGTGACAGTGAACCTACCTCTTGTGTGACAGTGAACCTACCTCTTGTGTGACAGTGAACCTACCTCTTGTGTGACAGTGAACCTACCGCTTGTGTGACAGTGAACCTACCGCTTGTGTGACCGTGAACCTACCGCCTGTGTAACAGTGAACCTACCGCTTGTGTAACAGTGAACCCATCCCTTGTGTGACAGTGAACCCATCCCTTGTGTGACAGTGAACCTATCCCTCTTGTGTGACAGTGAACCTACCGCTTGTGTAACAGTGAACCCATCCCTTGTGTGACAGTGAACCTACCCCTTGTGTGACAGTGAACCTACCCCTTGTGTGTGACAGTGAACTTACCCCTCGTGTGTGACAGTGAACCTACCCCTTGTGTGACAGTGAACCCATCCCCTGTGTGGCAGTGAACCCACCCCTTGTGTGACAGTGAACCTACCCCTTGTGTGACAGTGAACCTACCCCTTGTGTGACAGTGAACCTACCCCTTGTGTGACAGTGAACCTACCCCTTGTGTGACAGTGAACCTACCCCTTGTGTGATAGTGAACCTACCCCTTGTGTGTGACAGTGAACTTACCCCTCGTGTGTGACAGTGAACCTACCCCTTGTGTAACAGTGAACCCATCCCCTGTGTGGCAGTGAACCCACCCCTTGTGTGACAGTGAACCTACCCCTTGTGTGACAGTGAACCTACCCCTTGTGTGACAGTGAACCTACCCCTTGTGTGACAGTGAACCTACCCCTTGTGTGACAGTGAACCCATCCCCTGTGTGGCAGTGAACCCACCCCTTGTGTGACAGTGAACCTACCCCTTGTGTGACAGTGAACCCACCCCTTGTGTGACAGTGAACCTACCCCTTGTGAGACAGTGAACCTACCCCTTGTGTGACAGTGAACCCACCCCTTGTGTGACAGTGAACCTACCCCTTGTGTGACAGTGAACCTACCCCTCGTGTGTGAGCAGAGACGGCGCCTTGGTGAGGATTTGTCTGACAACATCTAGGCCGTCTCCTCCACCATGCAGAGCGGTCCGGTCTTCATACCTGAAACAATTATTATATACTAAAGTCAGTTAGGAAATAAAGCTTGATTTCAAATTTTTGAATGTTTTAATTGAAAACCTCGAAAAAGGAAAAACAGTTTGTTGAAAAGGCCAGGGATCAATGATGATTGGTCTTAATCCATGGAGAACTGCTTTCACATACTCATGTCTCTAGAACACTCAAAACACTTTAATATGAGACAATAAGACTATCCACAGATACCCTAGACACAAACCTCCATATAGAGTGAGTGAGTGAGTTAGGTTTAATGCCACTGTCGACAGTATTTCAGTCATATCATGGCGTGTCAGCTTGATGTGATGCAGGTTTTAGACATTTACCAGTTTAGGGAAACCAACATGAAGCGTGTGTATGGTGCTGACAAACCAAGAGACATAATCAGGCCAAACTATCCAGTGATTGATATTATGAGGAACAATCCACACCATGGGGGTACAAAACAACACTAGATCAATCAAGTAACAGCCTGACCATCCATTACATTACCTCTTAGTTTCAGAGGACCTATTCTATCACTTTTTCATCATCATCATCATCATCATCATCATCACTATCATCATCATCATCATCATTATCATCATGGGGCTGTGGGGTAGCCTTGTGGTTAAAGCGTTGGCTGATAACGCCAAAAACCCGGGTTTGATTCCCGACATGGGTACAATGTGTAAAGCCCATTATCCTTTCTCCCCACCGTGATATTGCTAAAAGCAGGGTAAAACCATACTCTCTCACTCATCATCATCATCATCATTATCATCTGGTCTGGATGTTATTACAAGAACGCGTAACACATACACAAAGATGCTGCTAGCAAAAAGGCTCTACAACCAGCACCAGACATATGTGAATATGTTACCATGGTTACATGCATAATTTGGGAAATATGCAAACAAATTAGAAATCCAAAATAGGTTACCAAGTGTGTTCAAATATTAACATTTTGTTCTTTTTGAAACTTGCATGTTTTGGACAAGCCAAACTGTACAGCTCAGTCCAAAGAGGTGAAAGGCTCTCAAGGTGCATGTTTGCTAATGCTTGAACACTTTGACACCAGCCTTTTCTCAAGAGGTAAAGATACAAAAACCTATGGTGAAAAGTTCACCTTGGGTCATGTACTTAGTTTAAATAAAATGGTAAAGTTCTACATATAAAAAAGTTCACTCATTTTAACCTCTGTACTTGATCCCGTCAATCTAATCCAGAAAGAAATATGGCTTGCTGGAAGTCTTCTGTATTATAATAATAACAATATTTCACAGTTTTACCTATATTTTAAGTTCAACATTTCTAGTGGGTGTAAATGTCCTTTTGTCGTCTAATCCCCGTTACTGACCATTCCTTACTTCTTTCAGCACTGAAAGCAGCCATACTGTTTTCATCACTACATCCAAATTACACAAGTGTCATCAGAAAATGACATATCCCCCTGCTCTGGTGCCATTCGGAAACAGAGCCTGGCTACTAATACCCCACTTTTGGTTCACTGCCATTGTATACATTCAGTTCAGTGAAGAAAAAAAATAATGCTGTTCAGTAATTTTCAAAATCCCAAATCATGATCTATATAGCAAGTTTCAACAAGAAATATTCAACGGTGTTGGAGTTCTGTACCGGAAACAACACTACCCTCATTTTCAGTATAAGTCCAAATTGTCATTGAAAAAAAATGAAAAACCCCATAAAAATCCTAAATCATGAAAAGGCACGAGTTCACCACTAGGCTGATCTATATAGAAAAGCAAAACAGATGGCTGGCACACGGACTGACATCGTGATCGCTATATGCCCGTTTATTAAAACAAGGAGGATATAAAAGGTTATTTCCATATTTAATCTGACCTTGACTTTTATAATACCCTGTTACAATGATGAGGCTCAAGGTGAGAGTGTTCTCAGGAGTGTCAGGCCTGACCGATAATGATGAGTCCATGATTGTTTTGATATAATCCGCGATTCCCTGTGTAGAGCAGAGTAGAGTCACATGCCAGAAACCTATGATTGTGGGTTCGAATCCCGGTTCGCCCCGATTATGTTTCTAGGTTTGTCAGCACCATAGCCGTGCTCATGGGTTTCACCGAAGTGGTAAACATCGGAGACCTGCATCACTTCGGGCTTTCTTCCCACATTAAGCTGACATGCCTCAATATAACTGGAATACTGCTAAAAGTGGCTTTAAACCCAACTCACTCACTCACTCACTCACTCACTCACTCACTCTGATCTAGTCCATGAAGATAATGTTACTACATGTCCAACTCTACATATAGGGGTCAGCCTGGTCATAAAACATCAAACACAGTCTTTGTGCGTACTGACTCAAACATTTGCATGCAATAAAACAGTACCCAGCACAACATGAAATACATTTGAAATTGTAAATCATCATGTCTGGTTAAAGTTATCACAAGTTTCACATTTTCAAATCCCACTTGACTACACCTCATTTTGGACTAGTAGTTCATGCAAAATAGATAAATTTTAGGAGCAATAAATTAGACCCTGACAATTATTACTTGTCTCGGACTAACAGACTAGTGGCCACATCTATAACTTTTTTGTTTCCATACAAAACACAAAATAGCAACTTTCACAAAGGTGAGGGACTATAAAACTCAAGCTGCCATATGTGTGTGTGTGTGTGTGGCTGCTTGTACTTGTCCAGACTAATGCCAATTTTATAGTGCTAGCCCACTGAGATACCTACCGCAGTTTAACATGAATACCCCACTGTATACTGACTCCAAGCCGACCAGTCCTTGCTTTAGCCCTATAATGCGGAGCGCCAAACAGGGTAATAACAAGTACCATATTTTAACATCTTTTGGTATGATGCAGCCAGGGATCAAACCCCTGACCTTTCACTCTCCGGGCCGACGATCTACCACTAGACCACAGAGGCGGTCCACAAACTGTGTACCCAAGAATGGGGGTTGCACATTATACTCAAGTCAGCACTTTACCCTGTACACCAAGTGAACCCATATTCATTTCCATAAAGATATTGTTAGAGTCTGAGAGAGGAGACTGTACCGGGAGACCTGGGGGTCCAGCTGGTCCAGGTCCTCCGTGCTGATGTAGGGAGGGTTGCTGACAATCACATCAAACACACCCAGGTCAGGGGCTGGCTCTGAAACACATCATGGAGTGAGTGAGTGAGTGAGTGAGTGAGTGAGTGAGTGAGTGAGTGAGTGAGTGAGTGAGTGAGTGGGTGGGTGGGTGGGTGAGTGAGTGAGTGAGTGTGTGAGTGAGTGAGTGAGTGAGTGAGTGAGTGAGTGAGTGAGTGAGTGAGTGAGTGAGTGAGTGAGTGAGTGGGTGAGTGAGTGAGTGGGTGAGTGATCGAGTGAGTGAGTGAGTGAGAGTGTGTGAGTGAGTGGGTGAGTGAGTGAGTGAGTGAGTGAGTGAGCGAGCGAGCGAGGGAGTGTGGGTGGGTGGGTGGGTGTGTGGGTGGGTGGGTGAGTGAGTGAGTGAGTGAGTGAGTGAGTGAGTGAGTGTGTGAGTGAGTGAGTGAGTGTGAGTGATCGAGTGAGTGAGTGAGTGAGTGAGTGGGTGGGTGAGTGAGTGTGTGAGTGAGTGAGTGAGTGGGTGGGTGGGTGGGTGAGTGAGTGAGTGAGTGAGTGAGTGAGTGAGTGAGTGAGTGAGTGAAATGAGAAAAAATGGGGGTTTGACGAAATAGTTAATATTATTGCACATGAATAACGACTAATGCCAGGTTTATAGTGCTAGCCCACTGAGAAAGGGTGCCAGTTAAACATGATTTGGTTGGTTGGTTTGTTGCTTAACACCGCACTCAGCAATATTCCAGCTATATGACGGCGGTCTGTAAATAATCGAGTCTGGACCAGACAATCCAGTGATTAATATCATGAGCATCGATCCACGCAATTGGGATCGATGACATGCATCAATCAAGTCAGCGAGCCTGACCATCCGATCCCGTTAGTCGCCTTTTACGACAAGTATAGTCGCCTTTTACGGTAAGCATGGGTTGCTGAAGACCTATTCTAGCCCGGATCTTCACGGGTGAGTTAAACATGAATACCCCACTCAGACACAGTATACGGACTCCTAGCCGACCTGTGCATGTTTTCTACTTAGCGCCGAGCACCAGACAGGGTAACAACATCACTAGGATATCTCACCACTCACCCACTGAGATCACCATACTACACATCATCATACAGAGAAAGACAACAAACCAACAATTACAGCATGGAATTCCTGCCTGCTCAGATGCCTTAACCGTACTACAAGGACAGCGAGTGGTTGCTATGTTACCTGGTACTGACATGCTTGGTAGAAACTGAATGAATGTTGTTTATATATCTGTTACAGTCTTACCGTCAAAGTCTCAGTGAGACAAACCACGGATTCACAGCATCAGCAACCATCCATGCCTTTAGATGTATCCTACATTTCATAACAAACTGAACATATTTTATGACTGCTTCAATCAGTTTAGCAAACTCCCTTCTCCATAACATATGAAGATTTTGTTCCACTTTTTATAGACTGATGACACATGAAGTCAAGGAAGAGGGTTACACCAGTGACCCTGTGAATTGCTGCACAGAGTTAAGTCCCTTAGACATGCCAGCATCCTACGACTGTGGTTTCAATCCCTGATTTACACAAATAATAATCCTTGGCTTGTCAGCACCATACTGATATCCAGGTGAATAAGGTAACTCAAATGTACTGATGATATTCGAGGGGTCAACATACATGTACTGATATCCAGGTGTATAAGGTAACTCACCTGCACTGATATCCAGGTGTATAAGGTAACTCACCTGTACTGATATCCAGGTGTATAAGGTAACTCACCTGCACTGATATCCAGGTGCATAAGATAACTCACCTGTACCATGTGTACTGATATCCAGGTGTATAAGATAACTCACCTGTACTGATATCCAGGTGTATAAGGTAACTCACCTGCACTGATATCCAGGTGTATAAGGTAACTCACCTGTACTGATATCCAGGTGTATAAGGTAACTCACCTGCACTGATATCCAGGTGCATAAGATAACTCACCTGTACTGATATCCAGGTGTATAAGATAACTCACCTGTACTGATATCCAGGTGTATAAGGTAACTCACCTGTACTGATATCCAGGTGTATAAGGTAACTCACCTGCACTGATATCCAGGTGTATAAGGTAACTCACCTGCACTGATATCCAGGTGCATAAGATAACTCACCTGTACTGATATCCAGGTGTATAAGATAACTCACCTGTACTGATATCCAGGTGTATAAGGTAACTCACCTGCACTGATATCCAGGTGCATAAGATAACTCACCTGTACTGATATCCAGGTGTATAAGGTAACTCACCTGCACTGATATCCAGGTGTATAAGATAACTCACCTGCACTGATATCCAGGTGTATAAGGTAACTCACCTGCACTGATATCCAGGTGTATAAGGTAACTCACCTGCACTGATATCCAGGTGCATAAGATAACTCACCTGTACTGATATCCAGGTGTATAAGATAACTCACCTGCACTGATATCCAGGTGTATAAGGTAACTCACCTGCACTGATATCCAGGTGCATAAGGTAACTCACCTGCACTGGTATCCAGGTGCATAAGGTAACTCACCTGCACTGGTATCCAGGTGTATAAGGTAACTCACCTGCACTGATATCCAGGTGCATAAGGTAACTCACCTGCACTGATATCCAGGTGTATAAGATAACTCACCTGCACTGATATCCAGGTGTATAAGGTAACTCACCTGCACTGATATCCAGGTGTATAAGGTAACTCACCTGCACTGATATCCAGGTGTATCACGTCCAGCCTGTCTGTCAGCCCGAGGCTGGTGGCATTATCAGCTGTCAGCTCACAAGCATGTGTTGTCTTGTCAACAGCTACTGCCTGCATCTGAAGCCATGTGTGATAACTGCTTCTCAGTATGGAAGTCAAAATCCTCATCATGGTAGGTCAGCTTCATCATCCTATTTGGTTTATGGTTTATGGATCTATCGACCCCAAATTCACAAATGTGGATTACAGTGTTCATTTCAGTAACAAAAGTAGGTTAAAAAGAGTTTGAAGGGTCAAGTAAGGCACTGACATGTCACTATAAAAATATAACAGCTTTTTTGTTTTGTTTTTATTTCACTGTAATGACAATGTTTTTCAGAAATCTTTATCAACGAACACTGTGAAGAAACTTACAAAACAGGGACCGACAGACCAAGGACCATTATCCGAAAGACGAGATTTAAACCCATTGCCAGCAGATCCTGCCGAGGGCTAAGGGAAGCAACTCTGCTCAGTGATCTAGATATACCTTGAATACCAAAAACCAAATCAAATTTGTGTTTCAAAGTTGACACACATGATCTAGTTTGTATCTACTTTCAAGAAAATAATAACATCTTATGACCTGTGGAAATTCTTTCAGCAGTGCAAGAGTTATGGCGCCTGATCCACATCCAATCTCAAGCAACCTTGTCTGTTTATGTCCCCAGCCCTGGAGATGTGACTTGATGAAACCAACCAGCTCCTAGGTAATAAAAACTTATGTTAGAATATCGAAAATCGGACAACTAAATGAAAGTTTGTGAAAGGTTGTTCTGACGTGACCTGTAATGAGATGTCCTCAGCGAGAACTTGTATCTGATTATAATGAGATTAAGGTAATCTAATCATGTGATTAATCCTGTTTTCTTTATTTAAAGCATTAATTGTTTATTGCTAAGCATGTTTATCTCTACATCGGTTGTAATATGCAGCTACCAGCCGACACGTCTCACATCAAAACACGGGCTCTGTACTTGCGGGCAGATGACCACGGAGTACGCTGATCACTGTGTCGAATTAACGAGACTCATTAATGAGTGATTTCCGAAATTTGTTGCAAATTAGGTGTGTCGGAGTCGCAGTGCGAGACTGTCGGATTAACGGGTCAGATTAAGCCGATTGTCGGATTAACGAGTGTCAGGTTAACAAGACTTAACTGTATTTTGTTTCCAGTGTAGGGCTAGGTCACATGTAGACAAAACAAAGCTAAATGAATTTGGAAGTGAAAGCCTAGAATGAGGTTTTAAATGTTAAATTTAACACAGTTACAAATTCCAGCTACAAGTAACCAGCTCGACATGGAAAACAAAATGAAATACAAACTCTTTAAGTTTAATAGCAAAGATATGAAATAAGTGAGTGAGTGAGTGAGTTGGGTTTTATCGCCACTTTGGAAAGTATTCCAGTTATATCATGACGTGTCAGCTTGATGTGGGAGGAAAGCCCGCAATGATGCATGTTTTAGATTTTACGACTTCAGTGAAACACATGAGCACAGGTACGGTGCTGCCAAACCTAGGCACATCCGGACAAACTGGGATCAGAAACCAAGGGAGGCAATTCTTCACAGCAAATTGCAGCGATCTCCAGGGGGAATGATGAATACATGAACATGCCTAATGAAAGGAGAGGTGATGTGAAATTGGGTTTAATGTTCAAGATTATTGCACTTATATAGCGACATGCGTGCATGACTGCGTGACTGCTTGTACTGGGTTGGACTGATACTGATTTACAGTGCTAGCCTACTGAGATACCATGTCGCAGTTTAACATGAATACCCCACTCAGACACAGTATACTGACTCCGAGCCGACCAGTCCTTCTTTTAGTCCCTTTATGCCGAGCGCCAGACAGGGTAACAACAAGTACCATCTTTTAACGTCTTTTGGGATGACGCGGCCGGTGATCAAACCCCCGACCTTCCTCTCTCAAGGTGGACGCTCTACCACCAGACCACTAATGAAAGGACTTTCAAATAACCTATTTCAGCCTTCAATGAAAAGTACTATGGTTGGCAACACTTAAATTCCACCTGTATGAGTGCCCACGGCAAAACTTGAAGAAAACCACATGTCAATGCTCAAGCAACAACTGGAGATATTGCAGGCAATCTCTGAAAAACCTGATTGCATGGATTGTGGATTGTGCTTTCAGTCACTGGTTTGTCTGGTCCAGATTTTGTTTCAAAGCTGTGATACGGGCAAAATATTGCTGACTTTGGCATGCAGCAACATTGACTCACTGACTAGGACTGACCATGTAGATGTGTGTCATGCATGGCACTGATTCTGGTGTTACACAGTCTGCCCGCTCACCTCTGTTTCTGGCCGAGGAATAAACACTGGCGGCCTCATTCTCAGCACGATGTCACAGAAGTCCCACTCTCCCAGGATGTACTGTACCGGTGTTCTGGAAGGTGGGCATGGTGCTACATTAGCTGGGTTATCTGGCCCTGATCAGGAGGAGTGTTGGTCAGCACATGGTACACATGGGTGCAAGTTGGGGGCCATCGTGTCACTCTAGGCTCTCAAAGTGGAACAAATGTATTTACTTTTTTCCAGTACTATATTATGTCACCTCGCCTTAACACTATCCCCACATTATCTGAACTCTATCTTCTTCCCACCCTAACATTATCTACTATCTACTTCCTCCCCCAAACCCCCAAACTAACACTATGTCCACCCCGTCCCCCCCACTTCCACCATACCGCTAACCATTTCCCACCTTTACACGATCCTCTTCCCAACCTTACAGTAACACCCAACTGCATCCACCCCATGGTAAGCAGCCCCTCCCTAACCCAGCACTATCACCCTCCCCATCCTAATGCTGTCCCCTCCCACCCTAACACTATAACTATCCAAACCCCCCACCCCCACCCCCACCCCCACCCACCCAAGTTAATGTGCGTAACATAATTATCCCCGTCTGGTACTGACCGTTGTTGTCTCAGCTTCACCATCTCCCACACGCGCTCCACCTCCGGACCGGTCAGTCCACGGTCAGCAGACACGCCATGGAGCTGTCAGCACACACAATCCATAGATGTGGGACTCATACGTTAAAATGACTTCACAACACAAAATATACACAAACAGGTCAGCACAGAGTTAGGTTAGAGGGACTTGGAAGTTAACCCAGGAAAGTTACTCACACATGATATAGTCACAAGACATGACAACATTCAAGTCAATGCTAAAAACAGGATCACTTCAGAGAAGTGTATACACAGTGATATGTTCAGCACAGCCCAGAGTATAAAAAAGCATAGAGAAGTTTTTAACTGCATTTTAGCACCATAAAAATTTAGAGATATCATTGTTGTCTTGGTTATTATTATTACTGTTGCTACAATAATAAATGTAATAAACATGGCAAAAGGAGCATAAAGATGAAAATTCTGAAGGATCAAATAAGGAACGTCTCAGGGAACTCATAATAGCTACCTCACATATGAAGGACTTGTATAATGGCACACTGTTCAACAGTTGAAGCATTACAGCTTTAATGATGGTATCTAGACAGAGTTAAGATGAAAGTCATACCGTTGACTTTCCTAGAACATGAGCAATGAAGAGTTCCACAGACGTCCTTGGTTCTGGAACTCCCAGCTCCACCAGGAGCTGCTGCATCTCCTCCAAGACATCTCCAACATGACGCTCATGACCATCAGCTCTGGTACTCAGCAACCTTTCCATGCACATGTCCAATCGGGAATTCAGGTATTTGGTGAACATCATGTTTCCAGTCAAAGAATGTTTGCTTGACAGGTGCACTGTGCGTGCAGCAAGTGACCTTGACAGTGAATTTAACTGATGATGTTTGCATGCAGTGTGTGACCGTGCATACATGTTTGACTGATGATGTTTGCAGATATTGGCACTAGGCAGTACTCTGTGCATGGCATTGTGCCAAGTAGTGTTCCAGCGTTTACTATCATGACATATTTCAGCACAAGACTTTGCACATAAAGAAACAGAGTGTTGTAGATGCTGTCTGCATCTAGAAACGAATGGTGATAACAAAACAGTGTGTAACTGCGATGTCAACTTGTATGTCTTGCATGCTCTTGCACAGGCTTGAGAGATCATTGTTCCTGCTCAGTCGGTAGTCGTGATGAGGCCTGCAATGACAAAGCACCAAAGTGAGCACTGACTCAAGGGATTGTCAGGTATTGTCAGGGATACTTCCACTTTTAATGGAGTCTGGACCAGACAATCCAGTGATTAATCTTGAGAGCAAGTCATCAAGCATGGCCATCTGATCCAGCCTCTTACAACCAGCATAGCTTGCTGGGCACCAATTCTAACCATGGAATTCCCACAGGGATTCAAATCCTTAAATGCATATCGGTATGACCCATAAAGACCCAGGTAGAGAATAGGTCTTTAGCAACCAATGCTTGTCATAGGAGGCGACTATGCTTGTCATAAGCATGATAAGAGGCGACAAACGGGATCGGGTGGTCAGGCTCACTGACTAAGTCACTTGGTTGATGTATGTCATTGTATCCCAAATATTGGACCAATGCTCATGATATAAATCACTGGATTGTCTGGTCTACACTCTATTACTTACAGACCACCGTCATATGGCTGGAATATTGCTGCGTTAAACAACCAACTAAACATATAGCTACATGAAGGTCAGGAAGTCAGGCATGGTATTTGTTTTGTACCAATTTCATCATTGCTGGCATTTGTGCTATTTTACAAAGACCTATCATGGAACAGAAACAATGAAAAGTCTGGTCATCAGGGCAACGCATCATAAGCATTCTTAGGCAATGTTTTGAAAGACAAGTAGGTATCATGGTTATGAAATCATAAATATTCACTATTTGTCTGTCGTTTACAAAGAGTGAGTGAGTTAAGATTTAACGTCACATCGGCAGTATTTCAGCCATATCGTGACGTCGTTTACAAAGAGTTACAATATACATAGTAGTTGAAATTATCCATCTTAAGTTCAACTGTGACCGTGTGTATTCTGCGTCTAGTCTCAAAGTTTCTGCGTCCTTGTGATATTAATTGTTATTTATTATTTTTAGTGTGAATTACACTGAATATATGAACCATTCAGATACACCTCGCATGTCCGTTCAGTGTATTACATTTCGTAAGCTACATGGTATTCGGAATATAAAAAGAAATGATCACTTTTGTATAGTTTTGATTGAAGAGTTGCGACAAAACTGTCATACCGGTAAAGCACATTATTATCACTTTCTGAATTGTTCCATGTGAAGATAAGTGGGCGCTGACATTATTGATGAGGCATTGTGGGATTATATTTTGACAGTAGTTCAACTTCCGGTGACTACTTCCTGTTTCAAAGGCTGTCTGCTATTTTGCCCTGACAACAATTACGGTATGGTGTTACGTGTTGTGTAAACTGAACACTGATCACCCTATTTTAAATTCATACACGCTGGGATTGTTTTCATTCGTAGCACGAGAAAATGACACCTGATGAACATGTTAAATATGACATGGGCACAAAACACCCTTGATCAAATGGAAACCAATAATCGACTATCCCCTTCAAATATTCATGTCATAGTCTCGTAGATTGTTTTGTTTTGAAAATGGATGTTTAGGTATTGTGATTATTTCTTTGAGTAATATACTTCATGATTTAAAATGGAAGTATTCTTATCACTGACCCTACAAATTATATACATCGCTCATCCTTCTTCAGATCAGCTATCTTATGAATAAATGTTAAAACAATATATTCATTCACCCCGTTGCCTGACATGTATTGAGTAAGTTTATTCATATCGTGACTAGATTTATGGCATGCACATTGCCTTAATATTCATAGGTCAGTCCTGTTAAAATATATTGTGTCTCATGATTATTTAGTCAAAATTGACAGGGGAGGGAGGCCAGATTGTCATAAAGTAATTGAATGAATGCTGGTCAATAATAATAAGAATAGTAAGACTGTTCGCCTATTGCCGATGCTGTGTACATGTTGTGGTGTGTAATTTCGTTTGTCTGCCATTTCGTTGCCTGTTCAACAGTTATATGCACCCGATTCACATGTTTTATGTCATCATGTGCTGTCCATGTGTTGACAAACTGCCTTGCCTGAATGATGATGAAATAATAGACGGCCATTAAATGTTCTTGGATGGCTACCGGAGACTTCTTCGTCTTCTTTTCACAGATTGTGTATGTTAATTTTCTTAATAGGTTACAAATCTATCAACAAAAACTTTATTGTAATGTCCCATCTATATGCATCTGTATCCATATATATCTGTTTCTATCAACACTGATACTATTGATAATTCTTTACATTTCTAGGAAACCTTGTGCTTCGATAATAAGGAAATGCCAGCATCAACAGACTAGAGGACACAAGATTTGGTCAGTATGATGGCAGCCATCCTGTCTACCAAGCAGCTTTGTTCCAACGTGATGGCAGCCTTTCTGTCCAACTGGTGAATCGTGAAAAAAAACCAGTCCATCATTCCTCCACATAATGGTGTCAACAGTCAACACAACAATCGATGTCACCACTCTACAGTCTGATGCAAAAACAGAGAAGTCATCAGGACAAGTCCTTGCCTATATACTTATCCCCATTGGATCTGTGATTTTTATTGGACTTGTCATCATTGTGGTAATATTAAATATTGCTTTCACTACTGTTGGCCAAATCATGCATGCAGTGATACCAGTACACATGTCAGTATCATATGTACACACACAACAACACATTGTGTTATGTGTTTCTCATATCTTTGCTCAGCTTAAGGTGTAGTTTGTCAAAACAATAAATAAAGATGGTAACAATTAATACAACAAATAACTTCTCTATTGTTTAAGATATGTGGAAAAATATTTCAATGCTATGATTGTGGTATCAGCATTGAGAGCTTTGTTAAAAAACAGATGTAGGCAGAGTTACCTCCCTTCTACAAGCATCCCACAATGAAATACAACACAAATTATTTTTATGTAACTGGAAATTCTTTTATATCAATTTCTGTAAAGGGATAATATATTTTGTTGAGTGGATATGAGAACTTGTTTCATATATGGGAAGCACACAAAATATATGTTGTTTCATGTCTGAAGACATGGTAGATATTCCCCGAAATGCTGTTAAAATACAAACAAAAAGATAAGGCCTGCCCAAGGATTGTGAACTAACCATATCATTGTCTTGTACAGCTAAAATACTAAGGTGAGTTGCCTGCAAGTTGATGTTAACAGAGATAGACACAGCCACTTGTCTGTTAGTAAAAGACTAGTGAAAATTTAGAGGACCAGTTGTTTTCTACTAAAATCTAGCTGTTTTTAATACATAAACCACTAATCCAAAATGAACTGCGGACTAGTTGGATTTGACCTAAGATGCCTTCCCCTGAAGCTCAATTGACCAGTCTCTGTACCGGGATGATGTCCTGATCAACTAGTAATACTGTACACCAACATGTGTATTAATGATCATCTGAAAGGCCGAATTTCTTCATCTTCCCGTGGCAAGGGAGTTAACTGACTATAAAAGTCCAGTTTCCACCCTTGCCGAACTTGGCTGCAATTATGGAGTTATGTTTTGCCTGGACTAACAAGTCTATGCATAGTCCAATCAAATCGCATAACGAACAAGACATCCGGTTCCTAAACAAAATGGATTTCAAGTGCAGATTTCGGTCAACTGCAGGATTTGCAAAGCATGTGTTCCGCCAACTGGGAGTCAACAGATATTTTGCAAATTCTTTCATGCTTTAATCAAGGTGCTCACATCATTTTATGCACTTCGCGGGGTAAGACCCGTTTGATTACAATGTAGACCTTGATTGTTGAGCAGATCGTCTTGACTGGGCACAGCCATTTTGTTTGAAGCAAATGCATGTGATATAAGAGATGGAATCTCATTGGTTAATAGGAGGAACATAGAAGGAACATAACTCATAATAGCCACAGGTGGCGCTATGATCGATCCTGGAAATTTCAGCCTAGTTCGGCAAGGGTGGAAACTGGACTTTTATTGTCAGTTAATGCCCTTGCCTCGGGAAGATGGAATTTCTCAAAAAGATCAATTTTTAGAATATGAATGTCAAATTGTTCATTTTATATATTTTCATGATTGTTTTTAAAACATAAAATCATATGTGACATGTCTGTGGTGAAATATAACAATAATGGCCTTACTAGCTTCTATCTACTGTCAGCCTTTTGTATTTGATCAAAACTTAATGACATTACACGTATGTTCATTTGTTTTACAGACTGTGTTGGTGCTTAAGAAAAACAGGTAGGGTCTTTGTTGTTTTAACTGTATACACTCTTTTGAATGTGTGAATTTTGAATTGAATTGAGTAGTTTAAAACAAAGGGTCTTACCTTGTCTTAGAAGATATTTTAACGTTGCATAAAACCCTGAAAACATATCTAACTAATGCTGCTGGTGACATACATTTTGAAATACTTCATTGTGATAAAAACATTATCTAATGGCGACTCATGTAGCAATCGATATGTGACCTGTAACAATATTATCATCGTGTCTAAGACAAAAATACAAGTCATTATCAATGATAGAGCTGAAATACAAGTCATTATCAATGATAGAGCCGAAATACAAGTCATTATCAATGATAGAGCCGAAATACAAGTCATTATCAATGATAGAGCTGAAATACAAGTCATTATCAATGATAGAGCTGAAATACAAGTCATTATCAATGATAGAGCTGAAATACATGGTATGTGAATCTGGGGAGCCCTAAATCTTATAACTTTTAACATTAGGGTTAGGACAAGGACACCTTAACTTTCATGCTTAATTTCGAACACTGACTAGTGCTGATGTTTGTGGTCCAGACTGGACCGTCTCCGCCACCATCTGATGCCACTGTACAGCTTCGACCCGGGGGATGAGAACGGGGACTGGGAGTCGGAGCTCCTGGAGGAGGAGAGAGAGCAGCAGATGAGGCTCAGGATGGAGGTGAGTGATGAAACAATAAGGAGGAATACAGATACTGCCTCGTACTGAAGCACATGGAACAATTGTGGTGTCTCCTTAGATTCCCTTCGTTCGAGACCGCCTCCATGGTCCAGCGGTAGAGCGCCGCCTGGGGAGCGGAAGGTTTTGGGTTCGATCCCCTGCCGTGTCATAACCAAAAGACATGAAAAGATGGGACTTGTTGTAACTCTGCCTGGCGCTAAGGGGATAAAACAAGGACTGGTCGGCTTGGTGTCAGCATACTGTGTCTGAGTGTTGTATTCATGTTAAATTGCCAGATTGTATCTCAGTGAGCTAGCACTATAAATCGGCATCAGTCCGGACTAGTACAAGCAGCCACACAAACACACACACGTACATAAACGTCGCTATATAAGTGCAATAATCTTGGATGCGACATTAAACCCCATTTCACTTCACCTCACCTTTCGTTCAAAATATTCATCTGTACATGCAGCAGTGAATGGGTACCCGGTAGGATGAGATGGTAATGTGACTGTTAACCTAACGCCGCATGGGCAGCTTCAGCTGTATAGTCCTAGGGAGCTGAGAATGAAAATTGACACATGGATTCCATGGACCGGGGTAATTATAAAAACCTAACTGACACAATAGAATCCAGGAGGAAATATAACTGGTTTGCAGATGCAGGTACATTGGAGTTTTAAGCCGTGGATCGATACACAGCACTTGGTGATATGATGACATTGATATGATGACGTTCCATTGCAGAGTCCAAGTCCACCAGACTCCCCCAAGATTCCTCTCACATCTATGCATTCTGAGTTGTGATGTATACACAACATTCTGAAGAAGACATGTGACGTATACAACTTTCCACTCAAGACTTGGGCACACGACATTCCACAAAAGCCTTGAGATGTGTACACAACATTCCACACAAGAGTTTAGATGTATACACGACATTCTACACAAGACTTGAGACGTGTAGACGACATTCCACACTAGAGTTTAGATGTATACACGACATTCCACACAAGATCTGAGACGCGTAGACGACATTCAACACAAGAGTTTAGATTTATACACATTCTACAGAGGACCCAGGGGTAGTTTTAACTCCCGCAAACTCCTCGCACCAAGTGCAACCTCAGATTCACCGATGATAGGATGGTTGTACAACTGTTATAGAACTGCTCCACACAGCCTACGCAGAGGGACATACAGTGTGTGGAGCTCATTTGCATTTATCTAGGATTAGTTTCTCGTCAGGAAAAGAAACAACTTTCTGTACCTAAAATAATACCCCTGATTCTGTGGCACTGGATCACAAAAAGAACCTGATTTCAACTTTCAGACAAACTCTAAAAATCTAAAAAACAGTTGCATCAGTCAGAAATCAGCTCTCTAGGCTATTGGTTCCCAGCAACCTACGCTGGTCGTGAGAAGTGGTGCATTGTGGGTCATTGTACCCCAATGCTGTGGATTGTTGATTGTCAGATCAAGTCCGTGATTGACTGGTCCAGACCTGATTATTTACAGGCCACCGTCATATAGCAGTAATGGGGCTGAGTGTGGCCTTAAACAACAAACAAACAATTTAAAAAGATTAGGCTTCATTCATTAACCACCTCAATTCAGAAATGTTGATTTGATAACAGAAACCCACACACAACACAATCATACAGTGCACCTTTTTAGTGTGAATGCCATGAAATGACATATGTATCAAATATTGACGATATGATCGCGCAGTCTTTATTATTTTGCATTTGGAACATACAGAAATCAGAGTTTCAGGAATGAGAATTTAGAAGCCTGGACACTGATTGGCTGATCAGAAAGCTTGCTTGATTAGACCTATGGAGAGGCTGTCAGGCCTTCTTTCCCTGTTGTATCGGAGTAACAGATTTTTGATGAGATTATAGAAATAACAGCCATCTTTGCAACACATAGCAACAGTCATTTTAATCTGTGGACCAGTTGGGGTTTTCAACTTAATTGTCAAATGTTTCTATATCATGTATCTATATTGTACCATGAGCTATATTGTACAAAATGTTTTTAATTTGCCTTTGATGAAACTTGTAACTTGTAAGCCTCATGTCGACCTCTGACACCTCTCAAGCATTCCACTCATCAGTCATGACATCACCCGGTAACATGACATCAGCTGACTCTCAGACGTAAGCCCGTAGAAAGTCGTTACCATGGTTACAGTTCAGGAGGAAGTGGATACAGTTTCAGGAGGAAGATAAAGTCGTTACCATGGTTACAGTTCAGGAGGAAGTGGTTACAGTTTCAGGAGGAAGATAAAGTCGTTACCATGGTTACAGTTCAGGAGGAAGTGGTTACAGTTTCAGAAGATTTAAAAAAGATCAGAACATGTTACAACAGAACTTAATGATGATAAGTCTCTCGATTTGTATTCAGTCATATTTAGTCATATTATCTAATACCACTGTAATTCCTTGCCCCTGAATGTTGTAATGAGAGGAAGCCATCAGGTATTGATTGGTATTTCCCAACCCTGTCCCCAGTGATGAGAGAATAGCCATCAGGTATTGAGTGGTATTTCCCCACCCTGTCCCCAGTGATGAGAGGATAGCCATCAGGTATTGAGTGGTATTTCCCCACCCTGTCCCCAGTGATGAGAGGATAGCCATCAGGTATTGAGTGGTATTTCCCCACCCTGTCCCCAGTGATGAGAGGAAAGCCATCAGGTATTGAGTAGTATTTCCCCACCCTGTCCCCAGTGATGAGAGGGTAGCCATCAGGTATTGAGTGGTATTTCCCCCTCCTCCCCCACCCTGTCCCCAGTGATGAGAGGATAGCCATCAGGTATTGAGTGGTATTTCCCCACCCTGTCCCCAGTGATGAGAGGATAGCCATCAGGTATTGAGTGGTATTTCCCCGCCCTGTCCCCAGTGATGAGAGGATAGCCATCAGCTATTGAGTGGTATTACCCCACCCTGTCCCCAGTGATGAGAGGATGGCCATCAGGTATTGAGTGGTATTTCCCCACCCTGACCCCAGTGATGAGAGGGTAGCCATCAGGTATTGAGTGGTATTCCCCCCTCCTCCCCCACCCTGTCCCCAGTGATGAGAGGATAGCCATCAGGTAGTGAGTGGTATTTCCCCACCCTGACCCCAGTGATGAGAGGATAGCCATCAGGTATTGTGTAGACACACTAAAGGACTTCTGTCCATCTTGGATTAATCTCAGCTGATACTCAGAGCCCACCTTCTATTTAAAATGGCCTTTGTTTAATTCCAAGCTGGAAATCTTGATCCATGTCACAAATAATAAGTGCATGTTACCCTGATACATTGAACTCAATTATTTAATTTAAATTACTCTTCCCCAGAGTTAATAGAACAATATTGCTATTGCTTTGAATTATCATATGATTTGTAGATATAGGAAAGTTTAGCCATACATTATGTTGTTGTTTATTGTCTGTAATCTATGAGCGATGTGACTGCTCAAGTGTTGTGACAAACTATGTCTCTGATCCCAACGAATTGACACAGTTGTTTTTTAACTAATAAATAGATGGCCAGTGATCAAAACTAGAACTAGAAAAGTGTAGTTTGCTTGAAGTGAAAGTATATATCAGTATTATATCTGTATGTAAGTCCTTTGTGAGACACCATACATGTTAACTGTGCAATCGACCAGGTCACATTGTAACTTGGGTGTAATGTGCTCCCACCTTTCTCAAAATCCACCTCTACTGTGACGTCCTACTAAAGTAAAGTGTTTAGTGTCTGACAAGGCCTTCACTCCCTACTGAAGTAAAGTGTTTAGTGTCTGACCAGGCCTTGACTCCCTACTGATGTAAAGTGTTTAGTGTCTGACCAGGCCCCGACTCCCTACTGATGTAAAGTGTTAAGTGTCTGACCATGTCAGGACTCCCTACTGAAGTAAAGTGTTTAGTGTCTGACAAGGCCTTGACTCCCTACTGAAGTAAAGTGTTTAGTGTCTGACAAGGCCTTGACTCCCTACTGAAGTAAAGTGTTTAATGTCTGACCACGCCTTGACTCCCAACTGAAGTAAAGTGTTTAGTGTCTGACCAGGCCCCGACTCCCTACTGAAGTAAAGTGTTTAGTGTCTGACAAGGCCTTGACTCCCTACTGAAGTAAAGTGTTTAGTGTCTGACCAGGCCTTGACTCCCTACTGAAGTAAAGTGTTTAGTGTCTGACCATGTCAGGACTCCCAACTAAAGTAAAGTGTTTAGTGTCTGACCAGGCCTTGACTTTCCACTGAAGTAAAGTGTTTAGTGTCTGACAAGACCTTGACTCCCTACTGAAGTAAAGTGTTTGGTATCTGACCAGGCCCGACTCCCTACTGAAGTAAAGTGTTTAGTGTCTGACCATGTCAGGACTCCCTATTGAAGTAAAGTGTTTAGTGTCTGACCAGGCCTTGACTCCCTACTGAAGTAAAGTGTTTAGTGTCTGACCAGGCCTTGACACCCTACTGAAGTAAAGTGTTTAGTGTCTGACCAGGTCTTGACTCCCTACTGAAGTAAAGTGTTTAGTGTCTGACCAGGCCTTGACTCCCTACTGAAGTAAAGTGTTTAGTGTCTGACCAGGTCTTGACTCCCTACTGAAGTAAAGTGTTTTAGTGTCTAACCAGGCCTTGACTCCCTACTGAAGTAAAGTGTTTAGTGTCTGACCAGGCCTTGACTCCCAACTGAAGTAAAGTGTTTAATGTCTGACCACGCCTTGACTCCCAACTGAAGTAAAGTGTTTAGTGTCTGACCAGGCCCCGACTCCCTACTGAAGTAAAGTGTTTAGTGTCTGACAAGGCCTTGACTCCCTACTGAAGTAAAGTGTTTAGTGTCTGACCAGGCCTTGACTCCCTACTGAAGTAAAGTGTTTAGTGTCTGACCATGTCAGGACTCCCAACTAAAGTAAAGTGTTTAGTGTCTGACCAGGCCTTGACTTTCCACTGAAGTAAAGTGTTTAGTGTCTGACAAGACCTTGACTCCCTACTGAAGTAAAGTGTTTAGTGTCTGACAAGGCCTTGACTCCCTACTGAAGTAAAGTGTTTAGTGTCTGACCATGTCAGGACTCCCTATTGAAGTAAAGTGTTTAGTGTCTGACCAGGCCTTGACTCCCTACTGAAGTAAAGTGTTTAGTGTCTGACCAGGCCTTGACACCCTACTGAAGTAAAGTGTTTAGTGTCTGACCAGGTCTTGACTCCCTACTGAAGTAAAGTGTTTAGTGTCTGACCAGGTCTTGACTCCCTACTGATGTAAAGTGTTTAGTGTCTGACCAGGCCTTGACTCCCTACTGATGTAAAGTGTTTAGTGTCTGACCATGTCAGGACTCCCTACTGAAGTAAAGTGTTTAATATCTGACCAGGCCTTGACTCCCTACTGAAGTAAAGTGTTTAATATCTAACAAGGCCTTGACTCCCTACTGATGTAAAGTGTTTAATATTTAACCAGGCCCGACTCCCTACTGAAGTAAAGTGTTTAGTGTCTAACCAGGCCTTGACTCCCTACTGAAGTAAAGTGTTTAGTGTCTGACCAGGCCTTGACTCCCTACTGAAGTAAAGTGTTTAGTGTCTGACCAGGCCTTGACTCCCTACTGAAGTAAAGTGTTTAGTGTCTGACCAGGCCTTGACTCCCTACTGATGTAAAGTGTTTAGTGTCTGACCAGGCCTTGACCCCCTACTGATGTAAAGTGTTTAGTGTCTGACCAGGCCTTGACCCCCTACTGATGTAAAGTGTTTAGTGTCTGACCAGGCCTTGACTCCCTACTGATGTCAAGTGTTTAGCTCCTCTTCCTGAAAGCATTATACAGGGGTGACCATGTCATATTCCTGGGATGGACAAAAACACCTTCACTTCATTCAGGTTTTACACACACTTACACTAATTGAACACACTGGGCAGCCTGCAACAAATGGGAAATATATTAAACTGTTGAGCTCCTCCTTCAGAGAAAGATACTGTATGTCTTGAAGCAGTGTCAGAAAAGAATGTCATCCTGATTAACAAATCACCAGATGAGTACTATTTGTTATGGTGTCTTTAGTTGGCGTATACGGTGTCATATTGGGTGAGCAGAAAAATATTGGGTGAGGTGTGAGCCAAGTCCAATATTTTTCTGCTAACCTGATATAACACGGGATACTGCAATAAAAGACACCATAACAAATTTATTATGCCGAAAAGTTTACACTATTTGGTATCTTTGTCGGACATGTCATGTCAAAATGGAAACTTGACACTTATAACTGGTATAAATGACAGGACCAGTACATATGTTTCCGATACAACGATTTAATGTAAACACAAACATTAACAGTGGAATATATAATGCACTAAATGTGAACATTTAAACAAGTATCATAGTTTTAATGGATAGAATTATCTGAGAAATCTGCCGGCCTCTGTAACTTGAGAGCAGCTCACTTTTTCCTAATGACGGGATGCTATCTATTCTTTTGATATGTGGCGTCATTGGCATCACGTTTCTTGTTTGTGACGTCATCCTATATTATGCTCTATGACGTTGCTATTTGTAAATCTGTGACCTCCGCCGCTAGCTTTTTTTCTCTCTATTTCTTTATCAATAAAAACACAAATGTGGTTTCTTTAAAAATTAATGTCTTTGCACATCACAATTTATTATATTAAAACATGAAACAGTGTCCAATAACGAATTTCAGTACCAGAATTTTCATGTGAAATATGTGAGGTGGGTGTTGGAAAATCCAACATGGCTGCTACTGACAGTATATGGTCTCATATTAGGTCAGTATCAACCATCTTGGATTTGTACTAATGATTACAGGCTATATGGGGTTAGTAGTTCTGCTCTCTGATTGGTCAATCTCACTTTAAGGCATAATACAGAGTAATGTCCCTTTGTATGGATGGAGGGTCACGTTGTACCCATCTGAAATGCAGACTTCCGGTTCAACAGGTTCGGAGTAACAGGGTTTCAGGGTATACCAAGACACTTTGAAAATGCATATATAATTCATTGTAATATTTGGCCACAAACATTAAATTGAGTTCTGGGTATTTAGACATGAGATCATCAAAAACAACAATGCCTTGTAAGGGTTCGAATCTCATTCGATGTGTTTGGGGATGGACTTCATCCCCAAACCTCTTTTTTTATTTCAAGTTTAAGTTGATTATGTCTATTCATTGTGTTTCAGGTTATTTTTAACGAACAGTAATAGTATTCATATTACTAAACAGGGCTAAGAACATAGCATCGTATTTGTCACTGTTGTCATGGGTATTCCATGTGAGTGAATCTCAGGCTGAGGGACGTGCAATACTGCCTGTTATTAACTACAATATTATTTGTTAATCCTACCGTGTCTATCATAAGAGCCTTTGCTTACCGTGAACTAATTTGAGTGTATTGAGATTGTTATTAGACACGTAATGAGATATACTTCTTAGGGCCTCGAAAACCCATAACACGAGGATATAGATATGCACATTAGTGTTAATTATTTATTTCCATTATTCAGAGTAATGTGCATGTCAAGATTTACTGCATGGAGGACTGCAAGCTGTCTCTGGTCATTGTAGTTGATGTATATTTATTTACCACACATAATAATATTATAGGCCTCATGGTTGTGATTACTGGCAGTCTTTCTTCAAACTGAAATATTGCATCTATGTATTTACTGTTAGGTTGATAAACATTATAACATTTGTTGTGAGTAGAGGAGTGTTGTAACTACCATTACATCCATCAAACTGGCTGGGACTGCCAAGTTTCCTGAGCCTAGTCCTTCTTTAAGATAGACATGACCAAGTCATCATCACATTAAGATTTACAGATAAGTATTCAGCAGAGGAAAGGCTTTAACTATTTCACATAAATCCTTCTCAGGCCACATGTACTGATCATGTGTTCCTTGTTACAAAATGACTTGTTTGGTCTGTAATTGTTATGTTTTAAGTGAAAATTTAAATCTAAATTTGTTTTTTCAAAAAGATGGTTTTAAAACAAAACAAGTACCTATTCCTTGATGTTCTCTTGCCACAGGTTTGAATTTAATGTCACCATTCACAGCCATGGCATATGTTTCTGCCTAAACTATATTGTACCTTCTCACTTTTCAGAAAGAGATTTGTACCGTATTCGACGTAATAAGCACCCTGCTCTAATAAGCGCCCACGGCGATATTTGCTAATATATTGGCAAGTGAACAATCCCAATCAGCACCCCTTCCGATTGATCAATGTACACAAGACTTATTTATTCGTGTATGATACGCACTCATGTGTTATATCACCCTTAATTATGGGCAATTAGATTCTTGAAAAATATATCTGTCTTATGTAAACATTTCAGGCTGTTAGCATAAACCACGAAATTTACGATCTTTCAACTCAAAATAATATTCTAATAAGTGCCCCCTATTTCTAATTTTGAGAGCGCCCTGGGCGCTTATTACGTTGAATACGGTAAGTGTGCTATGCTCAGATTCAGTTTTCTCACAGACCTATATATACAAGTCCGTGGTTTGCTCAATATGAAGAAACAACTCACGATTTCCTTTGTTTTGTGTGATATGTTTGCAGTTTTTAATCAAACATTCATCATTTTTTGTTATTCCTTGTTTCCTACCTGTGATATTGTTTATTATAGACAGTCATGTTGATTTGTCATTCTTTAGAATCAAATATATGAACAATCATTATTACGTAGCCTCAACGCTTGTTTTGTTGAACAGTTTAGGCTGGTGTACGTGATCTCTGTACCTTACTTTAAAGTAATCTAGTCTTTATTTGCAGTTTTTTAAAGTATGTCAGAAAATATTTGTACACCATGGTGTTGTTACTATGGAATATATTACAAAGTGTATATACTGATATTAAACACTTGCATGATCTGAGTATGAATGGTTAATACCAAATAATTCCCCTATTTATTTTCATCATTTGAGTCAATATTTATATCATTGGCATGTTTTGTGCAAATTAAACTATTTTTGAATTTCATTGATATTTCTGTTGTTTATCATGATGTTACATCTGATTCACTGGAGGAAGAACTGGAGTGACCAGAAGAAGACCTATCAGGGCTTGGGATGAGTGAGGGTTGGAGTCCAAAATGCACCCTGATTATCATATGTGGAATGTCGGCAATATGGCCGAGCTTGTGGGCTTCGCCAAAGTGGTAAATGTCAAAAACATGCATCTCTTAAGGTCTTCCTCCAATGTCTCACACAACAAGATACGAACTCGTATAACCAAATTTTGTTCATGTATTAAACTCAAGGGTGCTCTCCTCCCCTCCCCTCCCCTATCCTCCCCTCCCCTAAGTGCTTATTTATTTCTTTAGGGTGGCCTGATGGGACTTTGTTTTAGAGTTATACTGTAAATCCGGAGGTGATGTCATCCAACCATAGGGAGGGGTGGGTACTAATGGCCAAAGCCATTTCGTCACCGAAGGCCCAGGTTGGATTCCCGACATGGGTACAATGTGTGAAGCCCATTTCTGGTGTCCCCCGCTGCTATATGGTATGGCATTGTCATTTCACATTCTTTCTGCCGTTGATTCTAGCTAATGGAACAATGACAGGATGCAAAATTTTGTCAATGTATCGCTGGCCAATCACTTGTCCATTCACAATAACAAAATTAGTTCGCCTTTCATGTGTGATACCGCCCAACATCATGTCACTGCCTCCCACAAACCAATCATGGTCAAGAATTGTTGCCCTGGCATAACGCTCGCCGCTACGTCGCCAACGTTTCCTGCCATCTGTGAATTCAGAGACAAGACCATGATTCGTCTTTAGACATGATATATAACACGTTTGGCACACAGCCCATCCCATCTTCCACCTTTGGTCAGCTGTTAGGGTTACACTCTTCACAGGACGCCATGCTTTCCGGCAGGCTGCAAAGAACCTGTTTTTAATGATTGATGTTGAAATTCACCTTCCTGTTATTGTACAGAATTCTCTTTTGATAACAGGAAAAGATTTGAATCCTTTTGTGTTTTGCAATTAATGAAATGAGATGATCTTATCTAGGTGTTCTTTTTTAGACCAGGTTTCATTCCCAGTCCACCCGTTTGACGGTACTTGTCCCACAGTCGAGAAATTACACTTTTTGATTAGCCAAACATTCGGGCTACTTGGGTATTTATGACCCCCAACCCCCCTCTATCGTACCCACAATTGGCCATGTTGTCTTTTCATTGAGATATTGTCTCGGAGGCTTTTTTAAGCCTGTGTTTTGCCATCTTCCCGAGGCAAGAGAGTTAACTGACTTTAAAAGTCCAGTTTCCACCCTTGTCGAACTAGGCTGGAATTCCTGGGCTCGATCGTAGCGCTACCAGTGGCTATTACAAGTTATGTCCCTCCTAAGCCTCTCCTATCGACCAATCAGATTCCACCTCTCGCATCACTTGCGTTTGCTTCACAAAAAATGGTGGCGCCGAGTCAGGACGATCTGATCGATAATCACGATCTATATTGTGATAAAACGGGTCTTACATCGCGAAATGCATCAAATCACATGAGCACCTTGATTAAAAACATGAAAAGATTTGGAAAATATCTGCTAACGAGTTGGTGGTGCACATGTTTTGCAAATCCTGCAATCGACCGAAATCAGCACGACAGTTTTCGAACCGGATTTCGATTTCGGTGCGCGATTTTGATTGGACTATGCAAAGACTCGTTAGTCCAGCCAAAATGTAACTCCATAATACCAGCCTAGTTCGGCAAGGGTGGAAACTGGACTTTTATAGTCAGTTAACTCTCTTGCCTCGGGAAGACGGTGTTTTGCTTAATTGCATTAGTGATTGTGAGTTTCCCTATAGTCGCACGCACTTTGTTCATGCAGGATGAGAAATGTCATTGTGATCAGATGTTGCATTCAGATGTAGCGCCACGGTATTGTAAATGTATACCTCAACGATAGCTACATTCACATCGTTAGTTTTTTGTGTCAGTAATATATTTATATCTGGGAGTAATTTTCATGTAGGTGAGTTTGTTTGTTGTCATGCCTCCCCAAGCAATATTCCAGTTTTAGGATTGCAGCCTGTAACTAATCAAGTCTGGAGGAGGCAATCCTGTGATTGATATCATGAGCAGCAATCCACACCATCAGGGTACGATGACACACAATCAACCAAGACCACCGATCCATTAAGTCGCTGAGCATAAGTTACGTGGAATCCACTGGCCCTGCATGACAACTGAGCAATAAAGTTGGATAATCAGCATGACACAAATAACTGACAGTTCTACACTTCAAGGGTGGTCGGGTAGCCGAGTGGTTAAAGCGTTCGCTCGTCACGCCAAAGACCCAGGTTCGATTCCTGACATGGGTACAATGTGTGAAGCCCATTTCTGGTGTCCCCCGCCGTGATATTGCTGGAATATTGCTACAAGCGGCGTAAAACCATACTCACTCAATCACTCTACACTTCAATGTGGAAGATGAACTTCACACTTTCTAATAAGATATATTTCATAAACAGAACAAATGGACAGATTACTAAAAACATAACCTCATTTTATTCGTATTTGTTTTATCATATTCATATAAACATTCTAACAAATGACAAATCAGTTTGAATCATGTTCACTACAAGTATAAATGTATAAAAATATAGAACAACTGACAACTCTTGGGAAGTAATTGGTCCTCAATACCAAATTTTGTATGAATAGGAATTTTGTCTGCTAGGCCAAGGATGGTTATGGAGACAACAAAACATATTTCATTTGTTATTTGAAAGTTGGAATAATAATTTGAACTCACAAGCTCAACACAAACAATGGATGCCCCAAGCAACTATCCATCAATCTGGCTATCGAAAGATTTTGGCAGTGTGACAGTGACAACGAAGATGTATGTTTGAATGTTTTTGTCCCAGACAAAGACAAGACAATCTAACATGTAATACATATTCCTCAAACATGGACAATGTTATAACATGATGAACAACGTTCTAGTGAACTACATGTGGTCCCAGTATATGTAAGGTTAGGGAACGACCATTCGATGTTCTTGAGGGGGGTGGGGGGTGGTTCTAGCTTCTTTTTTTAAAAACTAGTTTCTTCCAGACAATACATGTCCTAGGGGAAAAACATTGGCCTAAGATTTACAACAACGAAAAGAAAGTTTTCACTGGCTGACCTGAAAACAATCTATTGTTTAGTCCTCCTTCCGTGACAAAAACTGCATGTCATGAAGAGGATTGAATGCTTCGTCTCTGAAAATATATAATTTTGATAGAAACAAACAACACCATTTTAAATTGAAAAGGAGCACCATTGAGATGGGAGATTCAGAACCGGTGGCAAATCTAGACTTACTTCATTTAGAACTATAGCAGTAAGACCTGGGCGGAAGGAAAAATAATATGGTTCTGTGGACTGTGAGACAGACTAATCATGGAGTTGTGACTGTAAAATGGTCGGTCTCCCAACAAATATCCCTCCTACCCCCAACCAATACCCCCACCATACCACACACACCCTCCCTCCCTCCCTTCCCCTACAAAAACCCCCCACCATATCACACACACCCTCCCTCTCTTCCCCTACCGAAACCCCCACCACACCACACCCCACAACCCCACTACACACACACCCTCCCACCCTCCCCCTACCGATACCCCCACCACACCACACCACACCACACCACACCACACCACACCACACCACACCACACCACACCACACCACACCCTCCCTCCCTCACCCTACCAATACCCTTCCCACACCACACCACACCCTCCCTCCCTCCCCCTACCTATACCCCCACCACACACCACACCCCACAACCCCAAACCCTCCCTCCCTCCCCCTACCAATACCCTCACCACACCACAACACACCGCACCCCACAACCCCACACCCTCCCCACTACCCCCATCACACCCCACCCCACAACCCCACATCACACACACCCTCCCCACTACCCCCATCACACCACACCCCACAACTCCACATCACACACACCCTCCCCACTACCCACATCACACCACACCCCACAACCCCACATCACACACACCCTCCCCACTACCCCCATCACACCACACCCCACAACCCCACATCACACACACCCTCCCCACTACCCCCATCACACCACACCCCACAACCCCACATCACACACACCCTCCCACCCTCCCCCTACCGATACCCCCACCACACCACACCCCACAACCCCAAACCCTCCCTCCCTCACCCTAACAATACCCTTCCCACACCACACCACACCCTC